TGACAGGTCTGGTAAAAGCAGGTAAGGGAAGATGCTGATGGATTGTATGACTCACTTGCTATGGATTTTAAACAGGACTGTCATTGTAAACATCTGCAAATCTAACGAGGGGGCTGGTCAATGGTACCATCCTTCTTGTTATTGCTGTAGTTGTTAAGGGCCATGGAGTCAGTTCCAACTCATAAAGATACTAGATAAGATAGAGTTTTCCAAGGAGTTGCTAGTGGGTTTGAACCACCAACCTTGTGGTTAGCAGTCCAGTTCTTATTCTAGAGCACCACACCAGGACAACTGGGTTTAAAGAGAAGGGGGGTCTTACTACCATAAAAGAAGAGCCAGGGGGAGAGTGTGTCCTTTGGATGCTGAGATCCCTGACCACTGAACCTCCTCAACCCAGGAACAGAAAGCTGTGACCCTGGAAGAGGGGCAGAGGACAGCAGCAGAACCAAGAACCAGAGCATGAGACAGAGCGGTGAGCTTCCCAGCCCACAGAACAAGTACGGCTAAGTGACTTTGGGCAGGAGGCTTGCTTGCTGAATTGAGTGCCTCCGGCACTTAATTGAGGAGCTAGGTTTGCTCACCCAAGTGCCTTCAGGTTGAGGTGTATAGTAGAGTGGTGTCAATTGTGGGCATTCATCAGTAGCCCTAAAAAAAACTTTGTAACAAGGGCCAGGTATAGAAAGGCCTGCCTGACAAGAAGAACTGTGCCCTGAGCATTTCTGACCCTGAACTGCTAACCTTTTAACTTCAGGAATCAGCCTCTTAATTGTGAGTGTGGTGTCTGAGTTCTGTGTGGCCAACGCAATGGATTATTCGGCAGAGCTGAGTAGAGAGCACAGTGAGGGGGATAGTTACAATTTTTTGCAATGTCTGTCTCTGAAAATATATTTACCTGCACATCCTCATCTGTATGTACTTGTTTTAAAAGAAAAATGCTTGGGATGCACCAATATCTACTGTGTTATTCTTCGTAACCAGTGCAGAGCATTGTTGTTGTTGTTAAGTGCCATCGAGTCAGTTCCGACCCATAGCGACCCTGTACAGGGTTTCCGAGGGTGTAAATCTTTACAGGAGTAGAAAGTACCACAGTACCACATCAGAACTCCAGAGTACAAACATTTCTACTTCTGTCTAGTGAATATAATATAACACAATACCCAGCAGATGCAGAAATGACACATCCAAGTTAAATACATGATGCCTAAAAGTCAAAATAAACTAGAAGCTCTGGAACCATGTATTTAAGTATCATAGGGCATTTTCTCTGTTGCTAAGTGCCATCTAGTCCAATCCAACTCATAGAGATTCTCTTTAGGGTTTCCCAGGAGCAGCTAGTATATTTGAACCACGAACCTTAGGTTTTTTGCACTCCAGTGCTTATCCTATAGCACGCACCATACCAGGACTCATAAATATAATGAGAGATTAACTGTCTGTATTCTATAAGAGGAAGAAAACATGTTTTGACACATGTTTATGTACATGCAGATAGGAACACACCTGTTTCTGAACAGTAATGGTAAGAATATAGGATAAATGGAGCGGCTGGGGACTCTATATGCAGAGAAGGAGAGGAGCTTTGTGCTAATGTCCAGGGGACAGGATTGCAAGGGTATACCCTTTAGTTGGTTGATGATGCATGGTGGGGACTGTAACCATGGACTGAAACGATATACGATAGGATAAATGTAAAGCTAATGTTCTCCTATGTAAACTATCCCATAATTCACAATAAAACATTAAAAAAAAATTAGAAGAAAGAATATACGATAAAAACATCAAGTAGTTTTGGAAGAACAATGCAACACCACCTATTACAACCAAGAGTTCAAGGTTAAAGAGGAAGTGACCTTTTTTAAATGAAAAAGAAAAACAAAAACTGCTGAGAAAGAAATGTTTTCCAAAGCACGTATTTCTTAACTTTTGTCAATAAGATTATACTCAAGAGGCAGGAAGACAGGATGAACTTTCCAAGAAAGCTTTGTTGTATTTTTCCAAAAAAGATTAAACATTCATTTTTGAAACCATGTATAATCCTTAACATGAATTTAACATACTGACAGTGCTTAGTGTGTTTGGCACACAGTAAAGCTAAGTGAGTTCTAGATATCAACATGCACTGCAAAGCCAAAATTCCAGATGTTAAACATTATGACATGATTTACTAACTTGCATTTTTACTGCAAAAGGCAAAGCTTCCAGTTTCAAGCCATTTATCATAAACTATGTCGTTGTTGTTAAGTGTTGTGGAGTTAGTTCCAACTCATAGCAAGCCTGTGGTTCAAATCGACCTTGCAGACCAGTGCTTTATCCTACAGCACCACACCACGACTAGAGATGAGCAAAATTAACACCAAACCCAAAGATAGTACTTTGGCAATTTCTCAGGAAGTTCATACCAGTAGCTAATCTCCCAGGATTCAATCCTGAAGGCTACTAAGGAAGAATCATCACTTACCCTGTTGCTGCCCGTCATACTGCTGGGCTCTTAAAACACTGACAGCTCATGAGAAACCGCATTAAAAATGCAGGCTAATGAAACTGGGATAAATTAAGACTTTAATACACTATACATATTTTTAATTGGCTCCGTATGATCAGCACTGGATTGCAAACCACAAGGTCAATGGCTCAAAACCACCAGCCACTCCTCAGAAACCCTAGACAGGGTCCCTACAAGTCAGAATCGACTCCATGGCACTTCACAACAGCACTATATATATATATATATTATATATAAAATATGCGTAATTAAAAAAAATATTTACCTAAATTCTAACATAAGGAATTATATTAGATTTTTCCTAAAACCTAACATTTGAATATTTCAATCAATTCAAAATATTAACACCATCCAAGAGTCTTAAAAAAGAAGCAACTTTAAAGGATCTATTGAACAATACCTATGAAAAGGACTTCTTCTGAAATTCGAGGAGTTGTATGGTTTCTTACTAAATCAAATATAGGCAGCATATTTTATGAGTTAGTGTCTATATACATACATACATACATA